CAGCATTGTTCAGTGGCAGAGGTGTGAAACCCTACCTCCATCATGCTAACCCTCTCTCTCTGTCCGCTCATTTGTCACTTGCCCAGTAGAGGTCCTTATGGGATGAAACTGCATATGCCTGGTCTTGCTCAAAGAGGAGTTGTTTCTGGGAAGTTTGAAGACCTGCGCCTTTTGAACTTGAAACAAGCAGGAAGAATGCTCTTTGCTTTAACAAAAAATTCTATCATGTATCCCCTCCCCCCTTATCCCGGCAATGCTTTGCTAGACACGTCAGCTATAGATGTTCTGAGTTTTAGGTGATCATGGAGTTTTGGGGCCGCCTCGACTAAATGTATACAACTGGAGCCTACTCATCCTGTCAGTTGACGTCAGTATGGATTATGGGCACAACTGAAGGGCTGAGCAGGCACCAGATTCTCCTGCCTGTAATTTACTGTTATCACTGGCTCACAGGCCAATCACACTTACTATTATTGATATTTATTTGTATTGCATAAGTGCCTACAGGGGAGACCAGCACATGGCTCTCACACTCCTGTGCACTCCAGCCCCCTTTCCTCCAGACAATCACCCATTAACCCTTATCACTTCACCCAGACTCACTCACCTTTGACCTAGTTCCCTGATACTTCACATTCACTCCAGCTGTTGGAAGAGTCCTTCCATGCCATCTACCAAATATCAAAATCCTCTGTGAAACTGAATTGCTTTTCTCCACCCAGCTCTCTTACAGAAACAGGTCTGCATTTAAAATGGCAGCATTTGCTAACAGCTACCACCTAGTGGTACCAAAGCTAGCACGGTTTTCCCCCCTTTACTTAGGGTTTGTTTACATGGGGAAATAGACCAGAATGGCTGTTTTGTGGTCGCTCCCCAAGGGGATACTATATTCTGGAATAAATCACTTTATTTCAGAAAAAATAGCATGCTTCCAAAGCAAAGCAATTATTCTGGAATAGAACGACTTATTCTGGAATAGGGTATCCACATGGGAGCTATCTGCAATAGCTATTTGGGTCAATTTCCTCATATAGATAAGATATAATAACTGTGACCAGTAATGTAGCTATGAGTTACGCAGATTTGGGATTTTATAGCTAAAACAAACACATGGGAACAATGCAGAGATGGTCAATATGGATGATGGTCTACCGCAGGGGTTCTCAAATTTCATTGCACCGCAACCACCTTCTGACAACAAAAATTACTACAGGACCCCAGGAGGGGGGACCGAAGCTTGAGCCCACCCACTCCCCACCACCCCGGGTGTGGGCAGGGCAAAGCAAAAGCCCCACTCACTGCCCCAGGCTGGAGGGCTTCAGCCCCAGGCAGGGGGCCTGAAACCTTAGCCCTGCCACCCAGGGCTGAAGCCCTCGAGCTTGGGTTTGGGCTTGGGCTTTGGCTCCGGACCCCAGCAAGTCTAAGCCAGCGACCCACTTTGGGGTCCCAACCCACAGTTTGAGAACCGCTGGTCTGTAGTCAGTGGGAGTTTCACATTGACCTCTGTGGAGGCAGGATCAGCCCCATGGTCTGTCAACAGGAATAAACAAGTGATCAGCAGAAAGTGGTGCTGTCAGGAGCAGCTTGGCACTGATATTGTTATATCCAGATGCATTGTACTGCAGGCATTCCGATGGGGTTTTTTGGGTTTTTGTGCTGTTGCAGCAGGATATTTGTTTGAAATTAAAAATCTCAGATTTATTGCACGACCATTTCAAATGCCTGATCCTGCAGCTGTTCCCTTCACTGAGAAGGGAGTACTCACGAGAGGAAGGGCATCAGGATCGGCCCCAAGGGGTTCAACGGGCTGCCTGGTCAGAGACTGTGCACTTTCCATCTATCCTTACCCTGCGCGCTTGTTTCTCTCCTAGTGGGAGAATCTGGAAAAGCCTATACTGACAATCTCATGGGGTGAATCCTGCAGGGCCAGAGTCAGCAAGAGTTGACATGTGCCTGCAGTGGGAGTCATGACTGAGTAAGGACTGCAGGACTTGGCTCCCTGGGAATAACCCTTTTCATCTTTGTGACTCACTAACACCAAGCCCGTCTCTTTCCTTGCAGGCATTGTCTCTCTGATTTCCCTTTCCATCCTCTCGTACGAACGCTATGTCACAGTGCTCAGGAGGCGCATGAAAGTGAACGTGTCCAGCTACCAGAAATCCTGTCTCTTTATTGCAGGCTCTTGGTTCTACTCCTTGTTTTGGACTTTGCCTCCTTTGTTTGGTTGGAGCAGCTACGGTCCCGAAGGCCCGGGCACCACCTGCTCAGTAGAGTGGCACTCCAGGTCTCCTAACAATATCTCTTACATCATATGCCTCTTTATCTTCTGCCTTATATTGCCTCTTCTGACAATGATCTATTGTTATGGGAAAATAGTGAGAGCAATCAAAATGGTAAGTATCTTCTCTCGCTGCTCTAACATATGATGGTTGTAACTGCATTCTTCTTTTCTCTGTACTGAATGGGGATATTCTTAGAGTTCTGCCTGTTGCAGGACAGGTGATACCCATGTCTGCCTATCAGGAATGAAATCTGCCATAAAGCAATATGTGGGGAGCTATGATTAGGGTGACCAGACAGCAAGTGTGAAAAATCGGGACGGGGGTGGGGGGTAATAGGAGCCTATATAAGAGAGAGGCCCAAATATCGGGACTGTCCCTATAAAATTGGGACATCTGGTCACCCTAGCTATGATCCAGCTCCCACTGAAGTCAATGGGTGTTTTGACACTGAGTGATGCCAAATGCTGCATGTATTGTGGTAGTTCTGGGAGGCTCTATCAGGGAATGGCCTGCCCCTTTATGTAAATAAATGTAATAGAAAGGTGATCCCTGCACCAAAAAGCCCTTGGTCTGAGTCAGCCTCAATCTACTTTAGTTGTGGTTTGCAGCTATTGGTCTAGATTCACTATCTGCTCCTAGACTCAACGCAACTGTAAATCCAGTTTAACTGGCCGGGGAAACTGCTGTGTATCTCTGGAGCATAGGTTGGAGAACTAGCAATAAAGACTGTATAGAATGCAACAAATATCTACCAGATTATGGAAAGTGAGGACAATGACTATTATTATATAGTGAACACATTTCTTGCTGCAGTATCCAGGTGCTCCTGGGTTCTGGGTGACTCAGGTCCTTGCTGTTCACAGGACCTAGTAGATTGCATTGTTGTACATCAAAACAGGCGTATCCTATTCCAGTAGAGGTCACTGTTGACATGTATTCTGTGCTAAGTTTAGAGGTGTATGTTCTCAGCTTGTTACACCCTGCGATAAGGAAAAATGGCACAGATAAACGGATTTCTTTTATACAAAAGATTTCATGTTGCCCATATGAGTAGGAATATTAGTGACAGAACAGCTGTGCCATTGCAAACATCAGGATAGTTACGTGACAAAATCATTGGCAGGTGTCACATAATCCTTCAGCACCTATAAACTTGTTGAATTTAGGACTGAAATAACCCCCCACTCCTGAGTTTCATAAAACAGTACTTTATTTTAGCAGGTTTCTAGGTTTAATATGACGACTGTTCAGAAGAGGGAACACCACATACTTTTTATGGTGGTATCCATGGTTACCTGCTACCTCCTCTGTTGGATGCCATATGGGATAGTATCTTTGATTGCAACATTTGGCAAGCCAGGAATAATCACTCCAACAGTAAGCATTGTCCCATCCGTTTTGGCAAAGACTAGCACATTTGTTAATCCTGTTCTCTGTGTGCTCTTGAACAAACAGGTAAGAAGTTCACTTTGTTTATTTATTCTGGAATACAATTGCTCTTTCATATTAGATTGGTGATCAGTAAGTACTATTGTTAAAATATACGTAACAACTTTGTATGGGGACCTGTCTGAAATGAGTTGGGGCGTCCCAGTCCCTTTCTAGTGGACCGTTACAACACCCAGTCTTACAGCTGGGCTTCCTTAGAAGTGAGTTTCAGATAAAATAGCAAAGGTTTAGCTGAGTTGGCATATTGTCCATCTTTTCACTCCTCTGGAGGGGATCATTAGGAAGTAGGGCACCGTGGTGGGGTCACTTTGGGGTAGTTTGCACTGCCAGTGCCCATTCTGTGCGTGCTCTGTTTGATAAGACGTAATTGCAGTGGTGACTTGTTCTGGAGTCCCTTTCTCCCCTATTTGTGACATCACCCTTCTCATAGCGATGCATGCAGTGCAGTTATGTATTAACAATCTGTAACTAATATGCTTTGTCCTGGATCACACACAGTAAATGCATTTTCTTATTGAACTGTGCTCTGGTGTTAAAAAAAATAGTTCTTGTCAATAAAAGTAACCCAAGAGAAGGCTAATAATGTCCTTGGGTTGCTGACTTGCTCTCCCACTACAGATGGGGAGTAGCTTTCTGTCCTCATTTTAAGTTTTTTTTGGAGAGGGTCCATAGAATGGTCCCTCCCATTTCCACTTTGTCTATAGCTCCCTAATCCTGATTCACAGTTGCCCTGCGAGTTAGACGTGCGAGTTGCAATGGAGGCAATAAGCCACATTTCTGATTTCCTGATCCTGCTTTCAACTACCTGAAAGGGGATTCCAAAGAGGATGGATCTAGACCAGGGGTCGGCAATGTTTGGCATGCAGCTCGCCAGGGTAAGCACCCTGGCGGGCCGGGCCAGTTTTATTTACCTGCTGACGCAGCAGGTTTGGCCAATTGCGGCCCCCACTGGCCACGGTTCGCCGTCCCAGGCCAATGGGGGCGGCGAGAAGCCACGCCCAGCACATCGCTCGCCCGCGCCGCTTCTCGCTGCCCCCATTGGCCCGGGACGGCAAACCGCGGCCAGTGGGGGCCACGATCGGCCAAACCTGCTGCGTCAGCAGGTAAATAAAACTGGCCCGGCCGCCAGGGTGCTTACCCTG